GTTATGAAGAACTGCTGAACATGCTTACAAAAAGTACTCATATAGGAAACAGTATGAAGACTGTTCTATTTTGGCAGGAGCCATTAAGACCTTTTATAGGATATCATTAACATGTTGTTAAAATTTGGGTGGTGTTGAGCTTTGGTACATATGTCTGAAAATATGTATATATGCATATATATATTTACCTCTATGATTTGTTTCCTACTATCTGAACACCATCAAATGTGGTGTGATAATTTTGGAGAATGGGTAGGGAGTGTTTTATGATGTGTTGCATGGCCGCTTTTGTGGCCCTGCAGTCCAGGAATATGTTTACTAATATGTGAGCCTTGGCCCAAGCGTGTGGGGAATGGCCTTGAGCATGGTGGTGGTTGGGTTGTGGAGGTTTTTGTCTTCTGGAGCTGGATCCCTTGGAGCAGGGTGTGTGAAACAGCCTGGCACGGAATCTGGTGGCATGGTTATGGGGGCCTCATGTTATGCTCCTTTTTGGGAGAAGCAGCCATGTGATCTGGATGGTGGCCGATGATGAGATTATCTCACGCCAGCAGAGGTGGCTTACGGGCATTACCCCTGGGTTGCCGGAGACTGGGGAAAGCAGGCAGAGGATCTTCACTCCTGATCCCATTGAGCCCGGAGACCAAGGTCACAAAGTTCCGCATTACCTGGGTCCCGTAGGACTTCATTCATGTGTGAGGCTCAGTCTGAGCGCTTGGGGAGCGACCTTGAGCATGACACAGGTTCCCACCTACCTCTGCTCTACAGGCCTAACTGTGTCTTTTGATTTCTTTTGAGATTTATGGATCTTTGAAATAAGGTCAATAAATGAGCTAATATAGCTGAGCTGGAGGTGATTTGTGGGTGTGTCTCCTACATACCTAACTTTTAGCTGTTTAATATCTTGGTAAATGTGGGCCCAAGTTGTTGGGGTCTGGCCAAAGGCACAACAGCCGTTTTGGGGTATCTGGAAGTCTGAAGGCACCATCAGGCTGCTGATGCACTCGCCCCACAAGTACAGGTTGAACTGATGGTGGCACCATACCCACAATTTGACAAATTTTAAAGTACCTTTTAAGAAAAAAATTAAATTGATAATTTCCCAGTCAATAATCAAATGATTTTATATCTTAAAGTCTGAGTTATTGATACATTGTTGAACTATTTTATGCTTACAGTTAGTATACCTACAGAGGAGAGTGCAAGAGCATTTCAGACTCTGTAAAAACTGAAGGGCAGAAGTTGTCATACTGTGAGATGACGTGGTCTTTTCCAGACAGTTCCCCTGAGGCGGGCCAAAGGCTATGACTGTTTTGTCCAAGTTTTCGCTCATTCTTTGAGAACTTATTAAGGATTTCTGATTTCCAAGTACAGTGCCTGATGCTGTGGGAGTAGTGATGAGCAGGTTGTGACTTTTCCTCTCAAGAGCCCCCTGTCCTCGGGTAACTACAGTAAATGTACAAAGGGTGGTTGAAAGAATAAATGATGGCTGCTATAGAGCCCAGAGAAGGAAGGTTCCTCTGTCAGGGTGTGGGGATGGTGACCTAGGCTGAGATCTAATGGATGTGGGAAGAATACAGAGAAAAGGTGGAAAGAAGAGAAAAGAGAGAGGCTCTGAGATTGGAGAACAGGGCAAGATGAAGGCTGATACATGGATTGGGGAGATGGAGCCTGGGGAGGTTGGTTGGGGGTTTTTCAGCACAAATCACCTGTTGGCTTTTCTAAGGAGTTTGTGATTTTTTACAAGGATTACTGGGGAGCAATGAAGTTTTGAACTGATTGTTGGGTGGGTAGAGATTCTAGATTCTCTATATTGAATTGAAGTGATGTGAGAGATCAGTAAGGACTCTCATGCAGTAATTAGACCAGGCAGGAGCCGGTGTTTTTAGAATTAAAAAGACACCAGTGGATATGAATGAGCTGGACCAGCCTAATGATCTCAGAGAATGGCTGTTCAGAGCTGGGTCAGAGAATTTCTCTGGGGGCTTGTGGCATAAGGATACTGATACAAAGTTCCTGGGAGACATTGTGCGGTCCCTGTGGCAGGGGGCATGGGTAATCAGATGAGTTTGGTTCAAGACCTTTTGTGTCTGAGATGCTATGGACCTGCAGGTCAATCTGTGCAAGATATTTTTGGAGGTTCAACACTATTACTTGCTACACATACTTTCATCTGAACTTGAGAAATTTAGAAAGATTGGCAGAACAATCACTTTCATTTGATGTTACATTAGTGAGGCTGTTTTACAGCTAAGAACATAAACATTTTCCTTTCAGTATAAATGCCCAATCTGTGCACAATAAAATACTATGCAGCAGTTAGGAAGGATGAAGTCATGAAATATGCAAACAAGTGGTTCTACATGGAAAGTATCATGCTAAATGAAATGAGTCAGAAAGAGAGGGACAGACAGAGACTGCATTCATCTGGGGAATATAAAGTAACAGAATGGGAGATGAACACCCAAGAATAGTTGAGATAAGTACCAGGAGGTCTGCTCCATGGCTTGGAAGCTGGCAGCACACACTGGGGGAAAACACAGCTCAGATAGAGAAGGGAACACCAAGTAAAGGGTGTTTGGAGGACTCGCTCGGGATGCGAGATGCGAGATGCATGCTGAAAGTAGACTATAGACCAAACACAATGGCCACTCAATACCTCTATTGCAAACCACAACTCCCTAAAGGAAAGAGAGAGCAAAAGGGAATGCCCTGCCTTAGAGGTAGAGTGACTTTGGGGGATATGGGGGCGGGGAGGCTACTGGTGGTGGAGAATGGGCACTGGTGGAGGGATGGGTACTTGATCATTGTATAACTGAAACCCAAACACGAAAGTTTGTAAGTCTAAATAAATAAATAAATAAATAAATAAATAATGTCCAATTAAGTGTCCTCTACCATAATATAGTTAAGGGCTTATATGATTCTAACCATCATTTACTGGACCTCAGTATTAATTTTTCCTAATATGTCTGTTCACAAAAGTACCAGTGCACCGCATGTATTCAGTGGTCAGGAGTTGCTTCTCCCACCCTAGACAGCCGATGGCAATGGGTGAACCAAGGAGGAAACAGGGCCCAGGTGGTATGTTATCAGTTGTCATTTATTCCAATCTCCATTCCCATTCCAAACTCACATTGCCTCTCATTCTAGTCTCCCTCTCTGCCCATCCAGTTTCATTCTCTCCCATTCCTGTCTTACCGCACCCAGTCTTAGAGCCTTAGTAACTTACCCAATCCCTCAGAGTTGGGGTAGCAAGTACACATAGGTGAGGTAGCACAATCAACATAAGAAAAGTTCTTCCTTCTGGGGAAGATAGGACAAAATCCCATCCTGCTAGGAGATCCACCCAAGGGCTGAAAACCATCTACTGGGCGTATTTCTCCTTTCCTTAGTCTATATCCATTTAAGTGGTCATCTTAAATTTACTTCTTTTTTTTCTGCTTTCATAGTATTTTTATTTATTTATTTATTTTTTCAATCAGAACATGGGATTTACTTGAGTGTTTACAAACTTTCTTGATATTTAGAGCATTTAAAAAAATTTTATTAGTGAAACACCATGAGGTACAGTTGTAGACGTACAATTTTTTGTGCTTGGGTTTCAATAATCTTTGCAGTCATTTTCTATGGACACAGTAAGAGATATATTAAGCTTAAAGGGTAGCTCTCTGTGGGACATCTCACTATATATCCCAGACTATAGTCCTCAGGCAGATTAGTCCTTCCTAAGCCCAGCACAGTTCTAATTCAGTTACTTCTTTTTGGGTCATGACAGAGTCTGTCCATGACTGTGTTATTAATTTATTATAAGTTTTATGGTGCTTAGCTTGTTCGTTTTTGATGCTAGGGTAGCTTATGGCTTGCCCTGGGTCCATCATTATCCCTCCTGGGTACCCTCCTTTTGGGGTGCTAGGAACTAAGGGCAGCTGAGGCTTAAGTCAAGTAAATATGACAAATGCCCAGGAGTAAATATTATTCAGAGTCAGTTAGCACTCAGGTTTCATCAACTGTCTTCTTGTGTCTACACAAAAAGGACATTGCTCTAAAGTAAGCTGCAAAGGACATAAAGGAAAGAGAAAATAAATATTTCACTTACAAGTACAAACTCCAGAGATCTCTGAAGAATCTGACTTTACAAGTCACAGGTTCTGATTAGAGGAAATGAGCGATTAACAGATATGGGAACCAGAGCATAAAGGAGAAATTAAAGATGCATGGGAATGCCTCAGGAGCATTGTGATGGGTCTTACTCAGTGAACCTAAACTCTTTGTGCAGAGGAGAAGGGCTGACCAATTTTTACAACACCAATTGATGACCGATATCTATTATAGCTGATGCTATGTTCATGTGAATTTCTAAATCACTCAGGGGAATGTGAGTTTTTGTTCTGTTTATGATAAAATTTAACACATAATCATTGTAGTAATTTTAGGAATCCCTAGAGAAGGGGGAAACCACATAATCTCAAGAACTAACCCAATATAAATACATTGGTTACAATTTATTTAGCATTTTTGATTCATTTGTGTATGCATCATACTCTATGGACAACGGATATTATAAATAAAACTGTGACCTTTGAATGAACTTAGAAGCATGGTAAGACTTTTTCAAGTGTGTCCTAGCAGTGGGCAGCAAAGTTACATAAACAGGAAACCTGGTTTAAAGTTCAGGGGAGAGTCTACTTTGTATGAAGCTTAGATTGATGTAGGGAAATTTTTAGTAGATCCGAGAACTTAAAATGTCTCTTGAAACAGATGATGGATGTTTTCAAATTATTAGAATGTTTGAGTTTGTCCCAGTTATCTTATAAACTCTTATCCACACTGAACCCGTTTTCATTACATTATTACTTCATTAATGGTGGAAGTAGACTAGCTCATCAGGGTGGTATTATCGAGGCTGAGGGAGAAGGGGGCTATTGCTTGCTGGTTTAGAGGACTTCTGAATATGTAGCATATTTATTTTTGTTTTTCTTCTATTTTTTTTCTTTCTCTAGGAGAATATGAAAGTGTTACTCAGACTTGTTTGTTTCACAGCCCTACTGATTTCTTCTCTGGAGGCTGGTAAGTTCAGCATTTTCTTGTGTTCCTGTCTGCTAAGAAATTGATTTAGCATCCATGAGATAAATTTCTTAACAGCCATTTTACCTCCCTATTTCTTGTTTTGATTTTATTTTGGGGTCCCACCAGGCACTCCTCAGGTCATATTCCTGACTCTGCACTCAGAGATCAGGCTTGGGGGACCACCTGGGGTGCTGGGGATTGTACCAGGGCTGGCCATATGCGAGGCAAGTACCCTGCACACTGCACCATTGCTTTGACCCTTCCCTCCCTACTTCTATCAGATCCAAGATCCAGAGATAGAAGACTCCTCAGAGGGGGAAATCCAGCTAACCAGAAGAATCTATTTAATGCTAATATATTACTATGCTTTTAGTCTTTTAAAAATGTAGTTTTATCTGTTTACTGCAGCATCATTTACAGTTTGGTAGCTATTCCTTCCAGCACCTTCACTTCTTATTAAAGACCGGAAACAGGTCTAGTGAGGTAGAGTTCTAAGTCATTGTAGATAGTTTTTAGTCAGAGGTAAAATCTGGCTGTCCCAAGTCTTGTTCAAGCCTTTCCTTCTCATCCAGTTGCTGACTGAGGAATGCAGTTCAGGAAATCCTGCTTTCAGTTGAAAGAAGTGATAAAGTGATCAAGTCTATATGAGGCCATAGCTGCACAGTCCTTTGTTTTCCCTATTTCTGTATTGACTCCACCCTGCCCAATCTCCCTCACTATAAATATGTTGAACCCCCTCCTGTGTCAGATTGCACTGGGGATTCAGCAATGGATAGTCCAGACAAAAGTGCTTGTCTGCACGGAAGAGAGAAAATCCATTATAAGAGTAAATATGTTGGACCGGAGCAATAGTACAGCAGGGTAGGGCATTTGCCTTGCATGCAGCCAACCTGAGTTCAATCCCCAGCATCCCATATGGTTCCCCAAGAACCACCAGGAGTAATTCCTGAGTGCAGAACCAGGAGTAACCCCTGAGCATTGCTGGGTGTGACCAAAAAAGCAAAAAAAAAAAAACCCACATAAAAGCCCAAAAAAACACAGAGTAAATATGTATATTGTCATATGGTGATAACAGTAAGCAAAACAGCAGTTAAAGAGAGTGTAACAGTTTAAGACCAGCCACTGTGGGCAGTGCTTAAATATTTTAATAGTGTGATCAATGAAGGGCCCATTGAGCAGTTAACTTTTGAGTCAAACTGGAAGGAGGGGGAAAGTGGTGCAAACGGATTCCTGCTTGAGAATGGAAAAACTTTTTATGCACCATGTGCCAGCCCCTGAGGCAAGAACAGAATTAAACATTTCAAGAACCGAAAGGGCAGTGTGGTCTGAGCACTGAGCAAGGTGGGGAGCGTGGTAAGTGGTGGGGAGATTTAGGAAATGAGGGAAACAGTGAAGGATTGCTGCTTAGGCCTGTGTTGTTCTTTATTAGGATCTTGGCTGAGTGAAGTGGGAAGACTGGTTCTTTGTTCAAAGCCAGAGAGGTGGTCTGAGAGACTCACTCTGATTCTTGTAGTGTGAAGAGATTACAAGGAGGCAGAGGCAGAGGCTCAGTAAGACATTGTTGGAATAATCTATGCAAGTCACTGTGATAACCTGTTTCAGGATGCCAAGGAGGAGTGAGAATTAGCCAGATTTTGATATATTTGGAAGCTAGCACCAATAATATTTTCAGATGGGCTCCAGTTCTTAGGGAAAGGCTAGAAACAAGTGGGACTCCATAGTTTTGAGACTGAGCTTATGCAAGGTGTGATTGCCATGGGTAGGTTGGAGGTAAGATTGAGTGTTCAGACTGGATGCAAAAAATTTAGCTGAAATGTCAGAAACATCCCTGGGTGTCTATATAGTGGAGTTGACTGAACAGTTCAGAGCCCAACGGAGAGGGATATAATATTGAAAAATTTAAACAATATGCTTTTAGAACTAGAAGACTAGGTAAAATTCTCTGTGGATGGGAGTGGAGGCAATTCTGTTTGGAATAAGCAAGAACTTAAAAACTGAACCTTGTAGACTTCCAAGAATGGGTGATTAGGAAACCAGTGGGAGACTGGTTTGAGAAGTAGGACAAAGACAAAAATCCTGAGTGTAGAAAAGTGTTTCAGGGCTGAGAGAACAGTATTCCAAAATTCAGGTGAGTTTAGTAAGATGACGTATCTGCTGAGGGACTATTACTCATTGAACAACTACAAAGTTCTAAAGTGACTTATGGTCTTTGTTTTGTACATTTATTTAAAAGCCTGATAGAATTATATGCATTACAAATAAATTTTTAATAAAAAAATAAGATCGATTAAAGAAATTAGAAATCAGAAGTACTATTATGCTGGGCCAAAGAGATAGTACAGTAAGTAGGGTCCTTGTCTTGCACATGGCCATTTTTTTCTACTGTTTCTGAACTCGTGTGTGTGTGTGTGTGTGTGTGTGTGTGTGTGTGTGTGTGTGTGTGTGTAAGAGAGAGAGTTAGACAGGGACAAAGGGAGAGAGGCGGAAATAGAAAGAGGAGAAAGAAAGAGAGAGAGAAAGAAAGAAAGAAAGAAAGAAAGAAAGAAAGAAAGAAAGAGAGAAAGAAAGAAAAAGAGACAGCAGAGAGTTCTGTTATGCTTTTCTTTAATATTCTTCTTAATCCCCTGAAGCAGTGCTCAGGGTGCCTGGGGCCATATCAGGCCATTCTTAGCCAACTGAGAAATTTTCAGCCAAGTTCAATTCTCTCCAGGGTGTGGAACTTCTCAGCCCCTGCAGTTCTGGGGTCACAGAGATCACCTTAGCAGGGCTTGGGGCTTCAGGGCTATTCCTGATAGTGCTCAAGTATAGGCCTAATCCCGTGTCACCACGGTTTGAGCTGTGGCTTCTAACCACTTAATTAACTCCATGACCCCTTTCTTTAGTACCCCTTTATTTGTACATGTATCCTTTGGTTCTTTGAGCATATTTTTAAAAGCAGGCTTTCAGTCTTTACTAAGTCTAATATCTAGGCTCATTTTGGAGTTTCTATAGTTACCGTTTTCCCCACCTGTGTAAGGGGAATATTTTGATATTTATTTGCATGTTTTGTTGGAAATTGCACATTTTATGTAGTAAAAATGGCCATTTTAGGTACTATAAAGTGGCAACTCTAGAAATTTATACTGAAAATTTGCTGCTATTGCCACTACCCCCCTCATTTTTTTTTCTAAAAAGTATTTCTGTAGCTTCTCTTATTAGATTGTTTTCTTGGATAATTCTATGAAATGCATTTTTCTAGAAGTATACAGCTGCTGACGTGTGTTTGGTAAACTCTTGGTGACTTCTAAGTAGCCAGCCAGTTTCTCAAGACTTGATCTAATTAGTATGTCCTTGCTGAAGAACTCTCATTTGTTGGGTTATTCCCTCAACATTTAGGGTGTCACCTCTCTGCCTTAGTCTCTGTCACTTACTTATGAGTAACCTTCACATATTAACACAGTCACCTCAGTTTGTGTTAATGAAATCACTTTTGATGTGAGTGTAAGCTCCTCAGAACAGTTTGGAGCTTTTCAAAGCTCCCTGTGACATTTAGTTCCACAGATAAATCTTCCTTTTATTTCTGGACAGCCTTGGGCCTCTGCAAACTAATTTTTGTAAAACTAACCCCCTGGAGGAAGGGCTTTTCCCTGGGGAGTTCTGAGTCAATCCTTCACAATCCTGCTCTTTGAGTGTGCTTTTTCCAGGAGCTGCCTGTTAAATCAGAGGGAGCCAGTGCTCTGGAAATGATTTTTTTCCCCCTGAGGTTTCCAATCCCAGGCTGCTCTTGCCAGCCGTCTGGTTTTCAAGACTATAGTGACGAGAGTCTGCTAAAATGTCAGGGCTGGGACGAATGGAGATGGTACTGGCAACCGCTCGAGTAAATCGATGAACAACAGGATGACAGTAATACAGTGATACAGTGATAGTGAAGCTGGGAAATGGTATCAGAGTAGATGAAGTTTTCAGGCTACAAAGCACTGCTCTGTACAGACTCAGCCAGTGTTGCTGCTGCTGTTGAATAAATTCTCTTCTTTTTTTGTAGAAAGTTTTTGATTTCAGTTTTTTTTCCATCTGGTCTGTTACTCTTATGGGGGGAGTGGATTTATGAAAGGTCTTGTGGACATTCTGGAAATCTTGTCTGAGAAGTTCTTTTTATTTTTTTGCATAAAAACATCCAGTTGTTGTGGGAAGTAAGATTTATTTTTTTTTATCTGGATGCTCTTTATTTCTTGTTTTTTTTTTTGGGTGACTTTACCCATTAACTAGGTAATGTTAAATAAAAATGACTAGGCAGGAATTTTCCCCCTGCTCCTTTTCTTACTGTGAATGATAACTATAGATTTGTTTAGTAGTCTTTTGCTAGGTTCAAGAAGTTGATTTCCATTCCAGGTTTCTAGAGCTATTTAAATAATCATGAATGGATGTTAATTTTTTTTTCAAATACTGATTCTCTTGAGGTGACTATGCAAAAATTTAAGTCTGATTATTTATAGAAGTATGTATATAATTTTATAGAACTATATATATATATATAACTTTTATATATATAGTTCTACCCCCCCCGCCCCCCCCCCCCACCCCACACTGCCGTGTAATCTCATCAACAGCCAAGACCCAGAAACTATAAAACCCAGCTTTCGGATATCTTATTATTTCATTCTTACTTTGGACAACCTGGCGGGCTACCGAATGTAACCTGCCCACACGACAGAGTCTGGCAAACTCCCAGTGGCATACCCAATATACCAAAGACCAGTAACAATGATGGGTCTCATTCTCCTAACCCCGAAAGAGCCTTGAATGTGGCACTTTTTAGAATCTAAGGGCTAGGATGAAGGAGACGTTACTGGGGCCTGCAATTGACAAACAACAGGATGATCATGATATATAATTTTTAAAATGTCAATCCAACTTTGCATTCCTGAGATTTTACATATATCATAGTCATTAGTCTTATTTAATTTTAGTTTTCTTGCATTCTTTGGTTTTGGTATTGTAATAGTGTTGATCTCATGGAGTGAATTGAAAAATGTTACTAAATCTTCAATTTTCTGGAAGTTATGTTAAATTCATTTTTCTCATTACTGTACCAGTGAAGCCTTCTAAACCTGAATTTTATTTTAGATGTTGAAAGGTTTTTAATTACAAATTAATTTATTTAATATATCTCTAATGCTATTCAAATATGTTTCTTTTATATCTATTTCTTGGGGAACTGATATAGGCTGTACATTTCAGGGAATTTGCGCATTTAAATTGTTGAAGTTATTGGTATAAACTTGCTCCCAGTATTAACTTATAATCCATTTTAAATGATTAGAGTGGGACATAACTCTCTTTTTTTCTTGAGCAGTTTGGTTAGAGTTTTATCAAGTAAATTGGTTCTATTTATTTATTCATTTATTTTGGGTATTTTTTGGGGGGGTCACATGAAAGTTCTACTTATTTTAAGAAGTCTCTAAACAGTTTTTTAAAGTGGCTTAACCCTAAATAATTCAACCAGCAGCGAATGTGATTCCCTTTGTAGGTTTTGTTTTGTTTTGTTTTATTTCCTTTCATTTTGGGGCCACACCCAGCTCAAGGCTTACCTCTAGCTCAGCATTCAGGGATCACTTCTGGAGTGCTTAGGGGGCCATATGGGATGCTGGGGATTGAACACAATTCTGATTAGTGTCCATGAACTTCATTAGCTGTCATTAGCAAATGAAGTTTTTTGTTGCTTCTTCAAACTAGAATGACAACCCACTGGATTGTTTCTGTTAGGATTTCTATTCTGTTGAATATGTTGACTATATTGTACCATTCTCTCTTAACCTTTAGGGCTTCATTTAAGAAATATTCTGTGAGTTTCAAAGTTTTCATCATAATATTTTTACTTTGTACCCACTACTCTTAGGATTCTCTATCTTTGACTCTTGGTGTTTTAATTACAATGTGTTGCGGTGATTTTCAGCTTAGATTGATTTTTTTTCAATTCTTTGGGCTGTCCTCAGAGTGGGGGTAACTCTTGGCTATAATTCTTCTATGAGTTTTCCTTTTATTTTTCCATTTCTTCTGGGACTCCTATACTTTGGATATTGTTTCCCTTATGGCTGTCACATAGATCTCTGATGTTTTCTTCATTTTTCTTTTTTTCTGTTTCTTTTGGATGGTTTCTTGCTCCTGAAAACACTGGTGCATTTCTCTGCCTCTATGAGTTAGTTGCTTTCCTTCCTCTGTTGTGTTTTTCATATCTATTATGCTTTTTCAGTTCTGGGACTTCTGATTGAAACTTTTCTTGCATTGTTGTATCTCTCTTCTAGTGTTTTCTTAGTACGGTGAAGAGTCTAGCCCTTGTTGCTTTGAATTTTTCACCAGGGAGAGTTGAGAACTCTTGTGTGCTTGGGGCACAAGAGTTTTAACATCATTCATTAGGCTGGTGAGTACCTGTACTTCTTCATTCTGTCTTCCACTAGGACTGTGCTTTCAGCTGGCCAGAGGCTGCTGCTGTGTGCTCCTTTGTCCTGAATCTTGGGGGATTGTTGACTTGTGTGTAGGTGCGCAAATGTCCACGTGTGCATCTGGCCAATGAGGGCAGCAGGAAGACCTGCTAGTCACTTGTGAGGCTCTGCATTGAGTTTTTTCTGTGACTGCCCTGAAAGTATCCTAGGTCCTGGCCTCGGTGTATTTCTTTAATGCAGTATTAGAGTTTCCATCTCTAGAAATTCTGTTTTGTCTATTTTGATTGAAGCACTATGATTTTTAATACTGTTAATGATAGCATCATGTATACATCATTCCAGTACCACATCCACCACCATAGTACCAGCATCACTCTACCTGGGTCCCACAAACCACTTGATCTCCTTCACCCCTACGATAATTTCTCCTACTTTCTTTCTTTATATCCTACATATGGAAGAGATAATTCTATAGCTATTCTTCTCTTTCTGATTCACTTCTGGTTTTGTATTTCCCAGTTCAGGGATCTTTTGTATCAGAACTCAGGTTCAATGTTTTGTATTTCCAAGGTTCAGAAACTTATTTTTTATTGAATCACTGTGAGATACAGTTACAAAGCTTTCATGTTTGAATTTCAGTCATACAATAATTGAACACCCATCCCTCCACCAGTGCACAGTGCACATTTTTCATCACCAATATCCCCAGTATCCCCCCTTCCCCCATCCTTCCCACTGCCTCTATGGCAGACAGTTTCCCCCATAATCTCTCTCTACTTTTGGGAAGGGTTCAGAAATTCTTGGCTCAACTTTTATCCTTCGATTAAGGGCTGGGATGGAAGTGAATCATACTATCTTTTGTCATTGTCTGGATGCCTTGTCCTGAGGTGCTTCCCACAATGACTCAGGCCACAACAGTTTCTTGTTTCTGAGCTTTTTCCTGTTCTTTTCTGGGTCTGTACTACACACTTTATAGGTTCGTGTCTAGGATTTGCTGTTGGAGCACTGAAAGCCCACGGCTGACTGGCACTTTTGCTGTACCTGCCCTTCCTAGTACACACTGTGTGTTTCTGCTCCAGTCCTGTGTGGGCTTCTCTGCTTCTCCAGCTTCTCTGCCACTGCCCCATCCAGTAACCTTGTGACTGTAATTTACTTATCTGCTGTTGTTTCTGTGCAAAATTTCTCTGGGATTCTCCATGTAGTTTTGTACTTCCTTCCCTCTCCCCACCCCACCACCCTTTCCGCCCCCGCCACCGAACTGATGGATGTTCTTCTTCTGATCATATTTCCTCATGCAGTTTGGCTCCTTTTGCTGCCATTTGTTCTTCCAACTTCTATTTGCTTTTCAAAAATATCATTCATGTTGTCCAGTCAACATATTTGAGCTAGCACCCTGAATAGATGATAAGAGTAGTAATGACTATTTTAATTTTTCTGTTGATTGGTTCTATCTTCTCTACTTCTGGGTCACTTAGATTTTTTTCTCTTCTTTTTCGATTGTACTACTTCTTGGATATTTCTTTGGAACTCTGCCCAGAAGATTGGCTTAACCTGTTTCCCAGCTCGGGCTGGAGCAATAGCACAGCGGGTAGGGCATTTGCCTTGCCAGGTGTTTGCCTTGCCAACCCGGGTTCGATTCCCCCATCTCTCTTGGAAAGCCTGGCAAGCGACTAAGAATATCGCGCCCACAGAGCAGAGCCTGGCAAGCTCCCCGTAGCATATTCAGTATGCCACAAACATTAACAAGTCTCAATGGAGATGTTACTGGTGTCCACTCGAGCAAATTGATGAACAATGGGAAGACAGTGCTACAGCGCTACAGTGATTCCCAGCTCAATCTCCTTAGCACAGATGGTCTTTGTTGATGTTTCTTCCCTGCTATGCCACATCATAGAATTTCTTTAGGCAGTAATTTGGGAAAATTATAGATTACCTTCTTTGCTTCTTTTCTTTCTGAGTTTTTTGCCCGATTTTCCCTGATTTTCAACATCTTAAACCATTGTTGTTTCATATACTTTGTCTATTTTCAAAAATTTCTCAAGTGGGAGGGAAAACACAGTTTCTTCATTTTATACTAAAGTAGAAATCTCCACTTCCACACTATTCCCAATATCTTGATGAATAATCAAGGTATTTTAGAGGTTAAATAGCTTGTTGAAAAGCAGAGAGTGGGTAGGTAACACCACTAGACTTGGATATTAATCTCCGAGGCTCCCAACATAAAGCTCTCAATCATAAGGTGGTTAAAATACTCATAGAAAAGAGTTGACTTATTTGATATGTGTGTCTATATGTAGGTATTGCATTATGAAACATTGACTGCTTTAATAGAAATTCCGCTTTCTCTCTTTTATAGATAAATGTGAAAACCATGACATAAAAATAACTTTAGTTTCATATGCAAATGAAATTGATGTTCGTTCTTGTATGCTTGCCCCATATGTAAAAAATGCCACTATAGTTTGGTATAAAAACGACAGCACAACACCTATATCTATAGAGAGAGACTCCAGGATTCATCAGTACAAAGAAAAACTTTGGTTTGTTCCTGCTATGGTGGAGGACTCAGGATATTACTATTGTGCAGTAAGGTAAGAAAAGAGTTGATGTGTTTTAAACATGTCTTCCAAGTGCTACTATAGTTAAGGACAGAAAAAAAGTGGTTTATTCATCCATTTTCATTTAATTTAGAAATTCAACTTACTGCATCAAAATGAAATTAACGGCAAAATTTGAGAAGAATGAGCCTGATCTGTGCTCAGTTATACACAAAAATACACAAGCTGTATATGAGCAGAGGTTGCCTCTGGAGAGGTCTGGATATCTTGTGTGTCCTCATGTGGAATTTTTAGGACATGAAAATTATGAGTTATTCCCGATGCAGTGGTATAAGGTAATTTTATTTTGTATTAATTTTTCAGAAAGTGAGTTGTTTTCTGTTACAGAAAATTATATTAATCTAAAAAGTTCTTTTTCATTTGGCATGCTATTTTCTTCTGAGTCCAGAAATACATGGGGGATTTTTAAAGATTATGACTACATGAATTTAGCCTGTCACTTGGCTAAAATCTTACTTTTGTTGTTTTTTTTTTTAAATTTAAGAAGATACAGTTAGGAAAAGTATAGTAGAGGGGTTGGAGAGATAATACAGGGGTAAGGTGCTTGCCTTGCTCATGGTTGACTATGGTTTTATACCCAGCACTGCATATATTTTCCTGAGCACTGAGCCAAGAGTAAGATCTGAACACTACTAAATGTAGCCCAAACAACAACTCCTCTCCAAGTAAAAGTACAGTAGAACTATACTTAAAGAGGAGTCTATGATCATAACTTTAGGGGTAGGGCATTTGCCTTGCATGCAGCCAACATGGCCGACCCGAGTTCGATTCCTCCGCCCCTCTCGGAGAACCTGGCAAGCTACTGAGAGTATCTCGCCCGCACGATATAGCCTGGCAAGTTCCCCGTGATGTATTCGATATGCCAGACACAGTAACAACAAAGTCTCCAATGGAGACGTTACTGGGCCCGCTCGAGCAAATCGATGATCAACGGGAGGGCCTTTACCTTTTTACCTTTACCTTTAAAAAAATAATATGTATTGCAACATGTATTTTGGTATGTTTTATTAAAAAAAATTTAAGTTGTCTTTAGCAATGTAAAAAGTGATTTGATTAGTGCTTCATGGAACATTTCATGTTTTGGTAACTTTGATTTACCGGTTTATTGGTGCTTACCAGTAAACATACTGTAGAGATTGAGATATGCAAAATAAATAGTATCTGTGAAGAAAGGAAAAAAATTTTACTAAGAACATGTAGTGTTAATAGTCTACTTCAAACATGTTCTGCTGGCAAAATAAGTTTATCTTCTTTTCTGAGTATTGGTTTCACAGGGCTGGAGCGATAGCACAGCAGGTAGGGCTTTTGCCTTGCACTCAGCCAACATGGCCGACCCGAGTTCTATTCCTCCGCCCCTCTCAGAGAGCCCGGCAAGCTACCGAGAGTATCTCGCCCACACAGCAAAGCCTGGCAAGCTACCCATTAGGTATTGGATATGCCAAACACAGTAACAACTATGCCAAACACAGTAACAATAAAGTCTCATGATGGAGACATTACTGGGCCCTCTTGAGAAAATCAATGAACAATGGGAGGACAGTGACAGTGACAGGTTTCATAGGCATACAATAGTTATATCTTAGTACTATAGTTGACTTTTGCCCAAAAATACAATATAAAATTTTCATGAAAGGACTCTTTTGATCTAATATGTGTAGCACGTGTCAATATGAAAAAATGAAATGTTTCTGTTGCTACACTTGGGAAATTATTTGCTGGTTTTTAGTAATTCCTTTTCTTTTAAAACCTAGGATTGCAAACCTCTGCTTCTTGACAATGGAAACTTTGGTGGAGCAACAAATAAACTAATTATAAGAAATGTGCAAGCTGAACATAAAGGGAACTATACTTGCCGTGGAATGTACAAGCACTTGGGACAGCAGTATTTTGTCACTCGGGCTATACGATTTGTACCCCTGGGTGAGTTGTTCCCACTCTAGGTGTTTAAAGCTGGGAAGGTTCAGATACCATGATTTTTGTTGGAAAATGAAGTGTCATTTTATGTGGAGGAATTAGATTGGGTAGAAACTCGAGACTTGCCAAAGGACAAGTGACTTTTGCTTTCTTTTAGTTGTTATTAAATTAGATGTATCACTTGTATCACTTGTCATCCTGTTGCTCATCGATTTGCTCAAGTGGACACCAGTAACGTCTCCATTTGTTTCTGCCGTATGCTAGTGTAGACCAATGGTGTCTGCTTGCTCCAGGAACACAAAGAGCATCAAACTGTTCATTCAGGGTTTTGACAAGAAGTCTGACCATCTCATAGGTGGGTGGCCAGGCATTCTTTTGAAAAAAAAAAATCAATTCAAGGATGTAAGGAAAGAAGGATATTTTATTTCTTCTTCTATCTAATTAAGCAGATGTCATCAGTTATGTTTTCCAAACTGAGCCAGGAGTCTTGTTCTCTAATATGGCCAAAGATGGCCCTTTCAGATTACCCAGGGATGCCTCTGGTTGCTGCAGAAAAACAGCTCTGAGTGTCTTTATGGCTGTCACTGAAGGTCTTTGGCATGCTGGGATGGAGGTGACTGAGCTTTAAAATAAATTATTCTCCAAGAACCTACCTCTTTAGACTTATTTTAGCTCAGTTTCTTAATCTCTCTAGGGCTGGAGCGATAGCACAGTGGTAGGGCATTCGCCTTACACGCGGCCAACATGGCCGACCCGAGTTTGATTCCTCCGCCCCTCTCGGAGAGCCCGGCAAGCTACTGAGAGTATTCGATATGCCAGACACAGTAACAACAAAGTCTCCAATGGAGACGTTACTGGGCCCACTCGAGCAAATCGACGATCAACGGGAGGGCCTTTACTTTACTTTACTTTCTTAATCTCTCTAAACTTGTTTCCTCTTATGTAAAAAGAGACCAACTCAATTTTGGTAGAGAGATTAGAGATCAGGTATGCTGGGCTTATGGCCAGGTGCCTGATGCCAAGTTAATGAGCAATAAGCAGATTTAAGATTGCTATTATTGTTTCTATGAGACTGTCAATGGCCACTAATTATGTTTCACATTAAAAATTATTTTGTCTTTTCTTCTCTCTAGAAAAAAAAAGCAGCTGTCATAGAGGCAGTCAGGGAGGATGGTATAAGGCGGGGGTTATGGGAGGAAAACTGGGGTACTGGTGCTGGGAAATGTACACTGGTGGAGGGATGGGTGTCGGAATACAGTATGACTAAAATCTAATCATGAACAGCTTTGTAATAGTCTGACAGTGATTTAATTAAAAAAGTTCTTTTTTTAAAAAAGAAGAAATTTAAAAACAAAACAAAACAAAATTTAGATTTTGCACTAGATAGATAGTAAAGATATTACCACATAAAAAGATAAAATAAAGTAAAAATTAGTTTATAAAAAAATAAAAGATGCACTTCTACCACTTACTCAGACATGGTCAGAAACTTAAATATTTCTGTAAATAACAAGATTTTGTGAGCTTTTAATAATCTAATAAGAGTTGCCTTGACCAGGGTTTGAAAATGAAGAGAGTCTCTACTTGTAGTTACTGCTGAAACAACAAGCCTAAATAGGGAAATCCGTCAAATTCAGAACACAATCATTCTACATAAAGAAAAATTTTCATAATTGTGTTAGATTAATAACATTAATTTTATTGAGTCAATACACTTTCAATGATTTGTTTGATTGATGAATTACTTTCTTAATTTCCACAGATATCAGTAAATTATACTTTTCAATTTACTATGTGTCACAACTGTCTTGATATTCTAGCAGCCTCTCCTTGGTCTTTTGATAGCTCTGGTTTGTTTTCCTAGAGATTAGTAATCACACCAGAGGACAATATTTTAGGGAAAATGTGGAACTAGAGTATTTAAAAATACAGGTCAACTATATTTTAGATGTGTGCCACCATCTCCTTTTCTCACCACATTTGTAGAAACAATATATGCTTATTCAGGGGAAAGTCATATTTTGTTTTCTTTCTAAAATCATATAGAAAACATTTGAGTATTTATATCAGGCACCATTGTGCATTTTATTAGGGAGCTAAAGGGATGATTTACTGCTGTGATAGATAAAAGAAATGGTTTCTTACTCTGATGGAGCTTACCCCTGGTGAAATTCTTAATATCTATCATTTCTCAAGATTGGTATCAGATCATACCTGGAAGCCTTGCAAAGAAAAGCCAGATTTAATTTCTGAAGATATTAATAGCTTTCTTCCAATTTTAATAAGTTCTGTCAAACTCCTTGGCATTCTTCAACACTGGGTGGCTTAGTCTTAGGTCAAGATGCTAAATACAAGCAGTTCCAACATTGCTTAATAATGCTCCACCCAGGCAGTTTCCAAGATTACTGGCTTTTCCTGATTTTCTCTCAAAAGGAAATACTTGTTTGGAGACTTGGGTCCTTGTGACCTGAGTCTGTTTTCATGGCACCAAACTTACTGGTTCAGAAAGCACCAGGTTTTGGCAGTATGCACTTAATGGTTTTAATGTGAATAAAAGAGAGGCCTCTGGGTTAATTAACTCTGTGTTAGTCTCCTATCTCTTGCTTTATGCTTTCTGCCATATCTACTTAGGACCTGAAGAAATACCTGGCTAGATGCTGTGTATATTGGTATATTTCTGTGTACTTTCCTAGTGTTGTCAGCACTTGAGATTCTAATTGGAAAGAGACTGAAAATCTCATTGGATATTTTTATTTCAGCGAGAAAATTACCCAGGCCTGTGTTTATCAGTCCAGCCAACGAGACTGTGGAAGTGCACTTGGGTAAGTGAGCTCTAATCAGGAGTGCCTAAATTATTATTGTAGACTCAACATTAAGGTAAACTGTAACTTTGCTGCACATAACCCAAGCTGTTTAATGAATTTATATTTAGAGGGAGAAGGCAGAGTTTATATCTTAAAATATTTCTTTGGATTTCCTACCTGTTAGGGCAAAATCTAGCCATATATAATTTGCCCCCTTTGTTCTTCTAAGGACAGTTATTGCCCATGAAAAACAGCAGCCAAAAATTGAGTTGAACACACCTAAGAATGAAAAACATAGTTTACTTGGTGTCTGATGGCTTTCTTATGGCCAGACTTAAACTTTGAAATAGGTCATTGTAGAAATATGCACTTCTAAGGTAGTGAAAAAATGTATTTTAGTAATAAAGACAATCCAAGAAATATTCAGAGCTACATTAGAAGTAGTATCTAGATACATGAATATGTAAATATAAATTAAGTAACCAATTTAGTTCAATTAAAAATTAGTTATATTAACCACATTTCAGGGGGTTTATAGATATTTATAAATACTAGAAATTTTATGCCACAACTGAAAGTTCTATTGAAAACTCTTGGTACAATAGCCAGAATCTGGAAATAACTTGAGTGCCCAAGAACAGAACAAATGAATAAAGAAATTATGGCATGTCTATGCAATAGAATACTATGTAGCTCTTAGAAAAAAATGAAGTCATGATTTTTGCCTATAAATGGATGGACATGGAGAGTATTATGTTGAGTGAAACGAATCAGAAGGAGAGGGACAGATATAGAATGACTGCATTCATTTGTGGTATATAAAATATATATATAGTAGAAGACTAATATCCATGGCCAGGGAAAACAGGGATTAGGAGGACTGGTCAATGGTTGGAACTGACCACAAGTGTGTGTGGGGCTGAGAATAGGTAAAATAGAGAAGAGACCAATAGACAATAATAGCTGGAAGGGATCACGCTGGACAAGATCTGAAGGTAAGTAAGTAAAGTAAGAAAATAAAGAGATATTCTTTATCTTATTAATTTCTAGTATTTATGTATAGCTATAAACCTCTTGAAATGTGGTTAATGTGACTAATTTTTAATTGAACTGAATTGGTTATTTACTGATACAGATAACCTTTCAGTATCAATATTGCAAACCATAATGCTCAAAAGGAGAGAGAGAGAAATAGAGAGAGAGAGAGAAAATAAAACCACTGGCCATAAAGGCAGGCAGCAGGTGGGGGTTATGGGGGTTATGGGAGGGAACCTGGGGACACTGATGCTGGGAAATGTACATTGTTGGAGGGATGGGTGTTGGAATACTGTATGACTGAAATCCAATAATGAACAGCTTTGTGAGGGTCTATTTCATGGTGATTCGATTAAAAAAAGTGAAAAAGAAAACACCTACTGATACAAATTTTTTTGTATCAGAGGATGAGAAATAAAATTTGAAAAGATAATTTTCTTCAGTAATCATAACTGCATGAAGACAGTGAACAACTGAATAGAGATTAGAAAGTTCATGTTTGTGGCCTGTGAATTCTTTATTTTGCAAAATTGTTATTTATAGTATAAGTAAACATAAAGACTTTCTTAGACATAAATAGAGATATGGAAATTCAAATTCAAATATAAAGCATTAGGCTCTTAGGCAGAGTTTCTCAATCTTTTAAAAAAATTATTATTACTTCCCATTAGACTCTAAAACTTACCCCTCAATATTTTTCCTTTGAAAATTTATTTTTATTTGTTTGGGTGCCATATTCATCCGTGCACAATGTTCACTCCTGGATCTGTACTCAGAAATCGTTCTTGGCAGTGCTTAAGGTAACACATGTGGTACCAGAGCTAGAACCAAGGTTGGTTGTGGGTTGTGTGCAAGGCAAGTGCTTTACTCATTGTGCTTTCTCTCTGTCCCCATCTTTCTTGAAATGTTAATACCATGGCTTATATTATATATATTTTAATCAACTATGACCCTTTGGAAGACACTAATCATTGCAGTATCTAATATTTTCTTGCCACTTCCCCAAGAACCACCTTTTGTCAGATTGCCCATAACTCCTATTTCTAATCCACATTCTAGATGGAGTAATATGATCCAGAACCCTGAAATCTAAGCTGTATTGCTCTCCAAGCCCAAAATAAGTTTCATATTAAAAAACAAATATTTTTACTATATTATGTATATTTATACATCACCCTATTATTTGATTATCTTGAAGGATGTTAGATAGGCATTTAATAATATTCAATTCCAATTATCCATAAAACACCTTAGAAAATAGGAATAAAGGGATGATGTTTTAGTAAATAGTTTCAAACCATTTGTTTCCAATATTCTTTATAACAAAACTTCACTGTTTCTGTAGGCAAGGTTAAAATACAAACAAAGATGCCCACATAACCAATATTTTGAAACATGAGACGTGCTCACGTTTCAAGTGCTCAAGTTAGAGATAAAGGAACCAAGTCATCCTTACTATAAGGGAGAAAAGAACTTTCATATTGTTTTTAAGTCATTTTATTGCATGCTTAGAAATCTCAAAAAAAATTACCAGTAAATCTTTAAATTTTTTTGTTAATTTGTTATGTGTACAATTAATATTCTAAATATTGGTTGTTTGTCAATAACTACCTGGAAAATAGAATGTAAAAAATGCTGTTTGTACCTGTACATTTTATAGATAAATATTAATAAGATACCTTAACATTATATATAATATAGCACTGTAGCACTGTCCTCCTGTTTTTCATCGATTTGCTCGAGGGGACCCAGTAACATCTCCATTGTGAGACTTGTTGTTACTGTGTTTGGCATATCGAATATGTCACGGGTAGCTTGCCAGGCTTTGCCATGCAGGCGAGATACTCTCAGTAGCTTGCTGGGCTCTCTGAAAGGAGCAGAGGAATCTAATCCAGCTTGGCCAGGCCAGCTGCATGCAAGGCAAATGCCCTACTGCTGTGCTTTCACTCCAGCAAATACCTTAACATTATATATATAATATATATGAAATTTATTAGGTAGGAAAAACATCAGCCTTATTGCTCGAAAATAGAACTTTTGTTTATTTTTGTTGTGTTTTTTGGAGGGGAAGGAGCACACCTGGCTATTCTCAGGCTTACTCCTGGCTCTGAGCTCAGGGATTACTCCTGGTGGTATTCAGGGGACCATAAGGGTGCTTGGGCTCAAACCTGATTCAGCCATGTGCAGAAAAATCACCCTACTCTGGTCCCTAAAATAGAATATTTTAAAAGGCTTCAAGGGTTACACTAGATTCACGTTGGAATTATGTCCAAGAGAAACCATTATTGAAAGTATTGTAAACCAAAAAGATTTCTTAAATAAATAAAAGTCTTCACTGGGAACAGTAATAAACATCACTGTCATTCCGTTGTTCATCGATTTCCTCGAGCAGGCACCAGTAATGTCTCCATTCATCCTAGCCCTGAGATATTAGCAAGTGCCACATTGCAGGCTTTTTCAGGGTCAGGGGAATGAGATCCATCATTGTTACTGAGTTTTGACATATCGAATATGTCACGGGGAGCTTGCCAGACTCTGCTGTTCGGGCAGGATACACTCAGTAGCCTCCCGGGTTCTCCAAGAGCGAGAACTAGACAATAAGAGGTTGCGCTCGTGCACTTTCAGGAGCTTGGTTTTATAGTCTCTGGGTCCTGGCCTTCGATGGGATTACACTGCACCAGGGCAGTTGGTGGGTGTAACTGTCTAGATACTGGAAGATGGGGGATCTGGGTGGAGGAGGCCCAGTCCCGATCCGAGCAGCCTTGGAGATCTCAGACCTGGTTCCCGCACACCTGGGTTCCTCTGCCTGTTCCTTCATGCGTGAGGCTCGTCCGAGCATGTGGAGAGTGGCCCTAAGCATGGCTGTGGCTGGCTCTGGAGGTCTTTAGCTACCGGGGCTGGGGCGGGGTGGGAAACTCAACCTAACCCCCTCCAAAAGGCTCCTTTGAGAACAGCCAGGTGCAGGGGCAGGAAACTCTGCTAGGTTGTTCTAGAAACTATAAAACCAAGCTCCTGGAAGAGAACAAAGCAGAATAATAACCATAATCTTAAAAAATGCAAATTTAAGCAGAATTGTAATTTTGATGTTTATCTTCTACATGAAAAACTGAGAAGTTAGTATGTTTACTCAAAATGATATTTTAGGTTTAATGGTATCACAATAAGAATATGAATGGACCTAAAATTGGCAAGAGATTCTAAAATTTATCACGATCCTCCCGTTATTCATTGATTTGCTCGAGCGGGCCTAGTAACATCTCCATCATGAGACTTGTTGTTACTGTGTTTGGCATATTGAATACGTCACGGGGAGCTTGCCAGATAAAATAATGAGACAGTTAAAATAATATTGAAAAGAGCAGGGCTCTGAATGATACTAATATTTATCCTAAAGCTACAGTTATTGAGTATAGTACCAAAGCAATGCATACATATTAATATTAACCGATAAATTCTCAAGGCGAGGTACTTATTTTATAATCAAAGTGACATAAAATTTATCAAGTTATGTGTTATTCATTAAGGGTTCTAGGATGATGAGTCAGAAATTTAGATGAAAATTTAAAGCTCCTCTTCATAACATACCAAATTGTATACTAGACAAATTAAAGACTAAAACAATCAAAGCAATAACATAGTGAAAGAACTGTATATCTGATTATCTTTCTGAGTTGGCAATGGAGAGGACTTTTCAGGAGAAAAATGAATACTTTCATATTTTGTTTGTTTGTTTTTGAACCACACCTGGCTGTAATCAGGTCTTATTCCTGGCTCTGCACTAAGGGATCACTCTTGGTGGGGCTCAGAGGAACATATGGGATGCCAGGATTGAACCCAGATCAGCCACATGTAAAGCAAGCAACCTATCTGCTATAATACTTCTCTAGCCTTCAAAACATTTGTAAATGATAAAGATGTTTAAAAGATAGAAATATCTATTCCAATGAATTTTCAGAAACAAAAATAAATCAAAAGCAAAAAAGCAGAGATATTTGGATTAGTTATCCTGTATTATAGAAAGCAAGTAATTTGTGTTATATAAAGTTGCCTTGCACTATATGACAAATTGTTATAAAGAAGATGCTCTTCATGAATAAAAGTTTTCTATATTCTTATAAGGTTAATGTGTCAGTGTAGTAATGCACAGTAGGATGGCAAATGCACTGATGCACAGTAGGATGGCAAATGCACAGTTCTTAGAAGGAAGGCAATTGACTGCCTAGCTTATGAAAACCATATTGATTGAGCATGAACTCAAGAAATGAATTGAACATTTAAGTGATATTTTCTTCTCTCAATGAGCAATTTAAACTAAACAGAGATATTTTGTATCTGGAAATCTTATGAAGTAAATGATACACAAGCTGCTGTTTAGCAGATACACTGGTATAATTTCACTTGGGAAAGAGATTATTTTCTTTTTGTTTATTTGTTCTGTTTTTTGGGTCATACCTGGTGGTATTGAGGAGTTACTCCTGGCTCAGCACTCAGGGATCACTTTTGGTTAACAGGGATCAAATACAGGTTGACTATATGCAAGCAACCTACCTTCAGAACTCTTTCCAGGCAGAAGAGGGATTGTTTTTAAAATATGTATTTCTTTTTTTTTAATGTAGGAGTACTGCTATTTATTCAGCCATAGATTAAACTGATTGAATTGGGCATGAACTCCACATTACATTACATTTTAAAAATTCAGAATGTTAATTTTATTTTATTGTTTTTATTATTATTATTTTAATCACCATGAGATACAGTTACAAAGCTTTCTGGCTTGAGTTTCAGTTATATAGTGATCAATCACCCAACCCTTCACCATTGTACATCTTGCACCACCAAGATCCCCAGTATACCCCCATCCCTCCCCCATCTCTATGGCAGACAAACTCCCCTATAGTTTCTTTTGTATTGCTTGTTATGAATAGCATAAGATGTTGCATGGTCGCAAGAGTAGCCGTGTGCTCCTAGAATTCTAAAATTTCAGGTAATTAGGGTCTAGAGAAATCTCTGCAGCGAATTTCTTGGTTTAGGGATTCTTTTGTGTTTCCCTGGATCACGGCTGTTAAGGAGCTTAAGTAGCATCCAGAGGCAGTTTGTGGACGTGACCTCCAGGGCCCCATGAGGATGGAGGGATGAGAAGGACTAGCCCATCCTTCATCCCTTGAGACCTGGAGTTTGCCATCACTGAACCACATACCTGCACTTCTCTTTGGTTTAAGGAAGTTGGCAGCCACTGGGGCTTTTAGGGGGGAGGTGGAGGAATGATACCTGCCCCCGTCTAAGGCACCTCAGTGTAGTAGGCCTGGCTTAAAGTCTGAAGGCATCTCTGCAGTGAGCTGCTTGGTTCGGGATTCTAAGATATGTATTTCTTTTAACTCAGTTCTATTTCCAGACTTTCATTTAAGATATGGACAGTACTGACGTCCTGGAATGTTTATCATTAATATCTGCAATTAATGGACATAAATTAATATTTGCAATTAATCATAATTAAATGCTAGAATGTTGTGATTGGTAAGGAAAAATCATTCTATTCCTTTATGAAATACTGAACAGAGATGAAATGGAATTTTTTGGTAAGATTATTATGTGAACTAAACTAAAATCCGCAATATTCAATAATGACAAATATCAGCCCATTGTAAACATGAGAGACAAGAGGCTGTGAGATCACCCAAAAGACCAGTATGTACACTACATGTGGGATGTTCAGATTGAACATTGAAACCACATGGTCTGAACACCACCAACAATGACCCACCGCAAGACAAAACCAAACAAAAGTACATTGGTGGGAGGGATACTGGGAATATTTGTGGTGGAGAATGAGCACTGGTGGAGGGATGGGTACTCAATCATTGTATGACTGAAATGTTAACACAAGAATTTGTAAGTCTGTAACTGTACCTAACAGTGATTTGTTTAAAAAGAAGGAGGAGGAGGAGGAGGAGGAGGAGGAGGAGGAGGAGGAGGAGAAGGAGGAGGAGGAGGAGGAGTTGGAGGAGGAGGAGGAGAAGGAGGAGGAGGAGGAGAAGGAGGAGGAGGAAGAAGAAGAAGATGTTTGTACAGAGAATATATAGAATGAGATATATAAAATTACGAATAGTCAGTGTATCTAGACTATAGGTTTAAGGGGATTATTTATTTACACTGTTATAGAATTAGATTTGTTTTCCAATAATCATTTTTGTCTATTAGATAAAATGAGCTGTATCATGATTATCAATGCTTTTTGCAGGATCCCAGCTAAAAGTGACCTGTAATGTAACTGGCCGATGGGGTGATAGTGTCCTCTGGAAGTGGAATGGATCATTTATCACTGAGAATTATACAGTTTGGATAAAGGTAGACTATAGTATGTAAGTATCCTGACAGCTAATTATGCAACAGGAACATTTTAAGAATAAATTTTGCATTGTACTATAAATTTGATGGTTTAATCTAATAGCACTGATTAGTTGACAGTTGATAGATCCTTAACCCTTGGCTCTAACCCATATTGAGTTTCAAGATTTATAAAATCTTGAATGTTTCAGGTGAAAATACATGTCAGTTTAGTGCAAATTTCAGACTACTTGGAAGGCTTTCCTTCTAAATTCAGTTGTGTTGCAGCATTCCAAAGAAGCAGTTTTCTAGAGTTATCTTTCAAGTATTCTTTTAAGCAGTTTTAAAAAAAAGTAGTTTAGAAAAGTATCACTGGGAGCAGCCAAGGATCAGACACTTTTCTGCTCCAGTCTCGGGTGGCTCCTTTGACTTTTTTAGTAATAAGCTACTAAAATCATTATCAATACCTTGGTCATTTGCCTCCGTCACTCATTTATTGTATTTTTCTTTTGTATCCCAGGAAGAATGACTATATTCATTTTATTTCTCTGCTACTGAATCTTTCATTGACTGTGTTCTTAGCACTATGAGTTCCTAGATCAGTATTGCTAAGTGTGTTATTGCTGCAATTGCTTAGGGTTGGTGACCATTCTTCTGTAAGTTATGCAACAAATAAAGGCATAAACTATATATTTGTGTCTGGTATAGTGAATATACTTTAAAAAATCTTATCCTCTTTCTTTTGAACAGAACAAAGAATCCTTCAAGCCCCAAAAGCTATACAATCATTGCAGTGCTTAATCTTTTAAAAGTACAACGTGATTTTTATCTATATCCATTTTTCTGTGAAGCTAGAAATTCACATAGTAAGCAAACAGCCTATATCCAATTAGCACATCCAGGTAAACACCAAAACTATTTACTTGAAATGAAATTTTGTTTGATCATTATGGCCTTGTTAAGACCTATTCCTCTGTCCACAACAGTCTTGAATTCCTCTTACCCAGGGTAGCTTCTGTTTTCATCCACTTCTCAACTGAACTGTCTTCGTATTTTTCTGTCCTATTCTAACTCATCTCTCTGCCTAAATTGATATTAATACCTGTCATGAGTTTCCATAGGACCCTATCTCCATTTCATACAAACTATCACTGAATTTTCTTTGATGGTGAATTATGTGATGGAGAAGACCATTTATCTTACTAGACACTCTTTCTAGGATTGGTAGCAACTAAATCTGATATGCTAAAGCACCTATCAAGATTTGTAGATAAATGACTACATGATGGATGCAAAAGATACTCCTATACCCATACTTTTTAGAGGGGATGTCAACAATTATTTGTTTTAAAAATGTTTGTCTTTATGAATTGAATAATAAGACAGTACAAAAGTACCTGTGTAATATTTTAAGATTAATTTTGGTTGAATTAAAAATAGGTTATTTGTGGCTGGGATTATAACTCCATGGTAGAGCAGATATCTCACATACATGAGATCCCTGAAACCACAAAAATGTGGGTATTTATGAAACTGTACATGAAAAAAATAGATGAATGAACATCAAGACAAACTTTAATTAAGAAATGAATTTGGAAAGGTCACCAGTATCTCTTATATTCTTTGTATGATTATAAGTGTCACTAACAAAAATTGAATTTAAAGAACATTTATGGCATCAAAAGTCATCAAATAATAATAAACTTGGAAAAATCTGTTTAGGAACTCAATTGAAATTTTATAAACCTTACTAGATAACTTAGAGAAGGCCTACGCGGATGGAGATCTGGGCAGACGTTATTGCTAGTCTGAAGGTGTCAGCTCTCTCCTGTGATTAAAAACACTTCCCGCAATGTCCAATAAATAGTTCTGTAGAATAGATTTTGTGTACCGTGTATAAAGCAGAGACTCTGATCACTGGCACCACAAAACCCACTAGGCACCTCAGGGAAAACCCTAGGGGTCCTGAATACCTGTGGGCCTAAACCTTGACCCACATCAGTGCTGTTGGGATCTGGCATTACCAGAAATCATACCTGTTCCCACCCCCAGCTTTCAAAAAGGCAACTTACATTCAGAATCTAAGGGGCATCTGGGATATATATTTATGTGGATGTGTTGTGGGAGTTAAGCTTATTCTAAAAGTTATGAGAAAAGGTAATGAGTCAAGAAGAATCAAGTTGGTCTTAAATATCAGTTGTCTATCTGGAAGCTTTACATGGCAGACATCATGGTTTTGTATGGTTTTTTTAAAATAGCAATTAAGAGAGTAATGGCAGCTAACAATTGTATCAATTGGATATTGACTCTCATTTGAGCCAATTAGATACCAAATGATGCATGTTTATTTGTACTTCATACCTAGATCAATTGTAGATGGCTCAAAGATTTACATTGGAATAGCAAAATAATGAAGTTTCTAGTTCTCATTTTTTTCTTTTTTATGAATGCCTATGTAATCCCTGACACTTAGAAACCACTTTCATTTTTTACCTATTTCTTCTCCTCCCAACTCCTATCTCACTTTCACCGTTTTCTTTGCCCCTCCTCACCTCTACTCTCTGAATAAATAGTCTAGAGTGAAACCAGGAGAAAGTCGAAGTGCAGTTCAGCCTGTATAGCACCAACTCTGTCCTTTTTCCTAACTTCCAGCTTTCCCCATTATACTAATCTACTCCCTGGGAGACTTTACAGACAGGTTTTAGTATTTCTTCTACATTATTGTTTATTATACAACTTCAGTGAAAATTTATTACAACGTACTTTTTTAAAATATAGAATCCATTTTAGATGGCTTTGTACAATGCAAGTATCCATTATTAAGTGGTGATAATGAATGAGTTAATATCACTGGGAATTTGGGATTGCAGACTCATTTCAAATATTAAGAGAATAATGTTTAATATGTTATGCTCAACATTTAAATTCTTTTGGTTCTAATATTTTTCTTTTTGTTACAGTTCCTGATTACCAGAAGATCCTGATTGGTATTTTTGTCGTATTAATTGTAGTAATCATATGCTCTATTATCATCTATAAAATTTTTAAGGTTGACATTATACTTTGGTACAGAGATTCTTGCTATAAATTTCTACCTAAAAAAGGTAAAATTTTCTATTTTATATAACTACAACTGGTCTCATTCATTTTATATATTATTATTGAAAATATAGTAGTTGAGACATATAAGATAGATACAAGAGATTTTATTTAAAGAGCTTTGCTGTTGTTGTTGTCTTGGGCCCACATCCTTCAGTTCTGGGTTCAACTCCTGGCTTGGTGATTGGACATTGCTCCCAGTGGTGCACCAGGGAGTCTGTGGTGTCAGGGATTGAAATGAGGGCCCTTGCATACAAAGCAAGTACTTCCTTTGGGGCTCCCCAATCCTGGGAGTTTACTTAAATTTTGAAATGAAAGTTTGCACAGGCAAGAAATATCTTTTTTCTGATACATTATTGAAAATTTATAACCCTGTAGGCTGAATAGCACTGTTTTTCAAGTACTGCTTTGATGTTCTTGATGTGAACTGACATCTGACACATCAATTTATAAATCCAGTTACTCAGAAGTTGTTGTTGAGGACCTACTTAATGCAGTGTAGGACATAGATCACCCTTTATATTCCTGCAAATAAGACTAATAGTTCAGTTTTCTTGCATCAGATACATGTTCTCTTTCTCCTTTTAAAACACATTTTAGGGGCTGGAATGATAGCACAGCAGGTAGGGCATTTGCCTTGCATGCGGCCAACCTAGGTTCAAACCCTGGCATCTCATATGGTCTCCCAAGCACACCACCAGGAGTAATTCCTGAGTGCAGAACCAGGAGTAGCCCCTGAGCATACCAGATATGGCCCCAAAGTAAAAATAAAAGAATAAATATATAAAAGAGAAATTAAAACATTTCAGACCACTAGGAGTACTGTAACTTATGAAAGGAAGTGTGGGTATAAGTCAGGGATGGAAGTAAAAAAAATAATGTCCATATTAAGAGAAATTATCTGCCCGCAGAGAATAGTATAAAGAATAATTTTTAGTATAACACGATCAATTGAAACTTGATTCTATTGACTTTGAACATTTGAAAAAATATTGTACTTTAAAAGGTATTGCACATTTAACCATAATGCCTAAAATGAGAGAGAGAGAGAGAGAGAGAGAGAGAGAGAGAGAGAGAGAGAGAGAGAGAGAGAGAAGAGGTATCTGCCATCGAGGCAGACTGGGGCGGGGGTGTGACTTGATGGGGTGAGAGGGAAATTGGAGACATTAGTACTGGAAAATTATGCTGGGATAAGGAATGGCTGTTTGACCATTGTATGACTGAAACCCAAACATGAACAGTTTGTAATGCTTTATTTCACAGTGATTCAATAAAATAACTTTTTAAAAAAAATATGGGACCCATGGTGGTGGAAAATGGGCACTGGTGGAGGGATGGGTGTTTGATCATTGTACATTTGAAACCCAAGCACAAAAATTTGTAAATCTACAACTGTACCTCATGGTGTTTCACTAACAAAAATTTTTTAAAAAATGCAAATGATGGAGAATGGGCACTGGTGGAGGGATGGGTACTGGATCATTGTATAACTGAGACCCAAGCACAAAAAATTTGTAAGTCTACAACTGTACCTCATAGTGTTTTACTAATAAAAGTTTTTAAAAAATAAAATAAATAAAAATTAAAACGTTTAAATTTAAAAAAATGTATTGCACTTTTAGTCATATTATTTAACAAACACTTCTTTTTGTAATGCATATTGTTTAAATTGACTTTAATGGGTCTTGCACGTTCCCCTTTGATTCTAAATATATTTTTCCCCTTTAGCATCAGATGGAAAGATCTATGATGCTTACGTGCTATATCCAAAGAGCCTTGAGGAAGGATCCACTTCCACTTCAGATAATTTTGTGTTTAAAGTCTTGCCAGAAGTTTTGGAAAAACAGTGTGGATACAAGCTTTTTATTTTTGGAAGGGATGATGATGTCGGTGAAGGTATGTATGTAACAGAAAAACAAAGTAGACATCTTATTTTATTATTTTGTTTGCTTTGTTTTTGGTCCATAGCTGGATTGGGGAACCATATGCAGTATTGGGAATCAAACTAGCCTCATCTTAGTCAAGTGCCTTAACCTATGTACTATCTCTCCAGATCTTGTAAGTTTAAAATCAGTTTAATTACACAAATTGGGTTTCATCTTTCTAGAAGATTATGGCAGAAGAAGAGTAACTTTTTTTGACAACTTAAAGAATTTCTTTAAAGGGCCAGGGAGATAGTTCAGTGGATAAACCACTTGCTTTGCATGCAGCCAATTCTGGTTTGATCATTAGCACCACAAACATGGTCCTCCAAGCACCACCAGGAGTATCCCTGAACTCAGAGCCAAGAGTAAGTCCTGAGCATATCCAGGTATGGCCTCAAATCAAAATAATCATGAAAAAGATTAATGCACTGCACTGTAGCACTGTTCTCCCATTGTTCATCAATTTGCTCGAGTGGGCCCAGTAACGTCTCCATTGTGAGACTTCTTGTTACTGTGTTTGGCATATCAAATATGTCACGGGTAGCTGAAAAAGAATAATAATAATAATAATAATAAACTTTACTAGAGTGCATGCAAAATTTAATAAGAGTGATAGCACAGCGGTAGGGCATTTGCCTTGCGTGCAGCCAGCCCGGCCGGGCCAGGTTTGATTCCTCCGCCCCTCTCAGAGAGCCTGGCAAGCTACCGAGAGTATTCAATATGCCAAACACAGTAACAAAAAGTCTCACAATGGAGACGTTACTGGGCCCGCTTGAGCAAATCGATGAACAACGGGAGGACAGTTTACCTTTATTAAATAAATAGCACAGCGGGTAGGGTTCTTGCCTTGCACACAACTGACCCAGCCAACCTGGGTTTGATTCCTCCACCCCTCTCAGAGAGCCCAGCAAGCTACTGAGAGTATCTCACCCGCAGGACAAAGCCTGGCAAGCTACCCGTGATGAATTTGATATGCCAAACACAGTAACAAGTGTCATAATGAAGACGTTACTGGACCCGTTCGAGAAAATCGATGAACAATGGGAGGACAGTGACAGTGACAGAAATAAATAGTGTTTACTTGTCTCATATTTTGGTTGAGCAACCACCAAGTTTATGTCAGTGGTTGTTTTGTTTGGGGGTCATCCCAGTGGTGCTCAGGGCTCATTCCTGGAAGGGATCAGGGGATGATATAGGGTGCTGGGATCAAACCTGGGTCGGCTATTGCAAGGCAAACACCCTGCCTGCTGTACTATCTCTCTGACCCCAAGTAATTTTTAATTCATTGATATCATATACCTGTAAAGTCCCTTATCCCCCAGGTCACCTGGAATTGATCAAGATATGATGCCAATAGCAAGCCAAGGCAATTCAGAGTCCAGGACTTGGAAAGCCCTTCTATAAGGAAACAAAGGCTGTCTCTGAAAGTTTGAACTGCTGAGAGTAGAGGGGAAAACAGTAAAGGAAAGGTGGTACCGGACATTCTGAAGCATTCACAGATTCAAGGAGGTTATTTGCAGGTTGAGGCAAGGCCTTTAGAAATCTTGGATCCCATAGTAACCTTCGGTCACGGTCATGGTCCTCCCATTGTTCATCGATTTGCTCAAGCAGGCCCAGTATTGTCTCCATCATGAGACTTGTTGTTACTGTGTCTGGCATATCGAATACGTCATGGGTAGCTTGCCAGGCTCTGCCGTGAGGGTGAGATACTCTCGGTAGCTTGCTGGGCTCTCCCAGAGGGATGGAGGAATCGAACTCGGGTCGGCCATGTTGGCTGCTTGTAAGGCAAATGCCCTACCGCTGTGCTATTGCTTCAGCCCTTATCACTGATATATAAAATAGGAGTGGTATAGATCAGATGGTTTTAGAGGACATGTTTTACATTTCACCTGAAAATGTTCTGAGTCTTAAATGACATTCAGTTTTGGGGAGTTTAAGTTTTGATTTAGCCTATAAAACAGAAACTTCTTCAATCTTGTCAGGTAAGAAGAAGAATCAGGAGTATGTCATCAGAGGAAGGGTGGGACATGCCTTGTGGGTTTCTAGACTGGGCTATGAAGAGGTTTTTATAAATCGAAAACTCACTCTGCTGTGCTTTGTTTTTTTCAGACTTTGTCAAGGTCATTAATGAAAACATAATGAAAAGCAGAAGACTCATTATCATTTTGGTTCAAGGAATAATAGGATTTAAGTGGCTGGGGAATTCCTCTGAAGAGCAGATAGCAATGTACAATGCTCTCATTAAGGATGGAATCAGAGTTCTCCTGCTGGAACTGGAGAAAATCCAAGATTATGAGAAAATGCCCGAATCCATTCAATTCATTAAACAGAAGCAAGGGGCTCTACGCTGGCCAGGGAACACTGGAGAGGAGACACAGTCTGTGAAGTCAAGGTTCTGGAAGAAGGTCAGGTACCACATGCCAGTACAGCGGCGGCCACCTCCTTCCGAACATCAGTTTCTGTCCCTGATCCCAAGTCCAAAGTCCCAGAAGAGGCTGCCAAAGGACGTCCATGTGCCTCGGGGGTAGCAGGGAGGAGAGGGGTCACCATGCTTGGTGCTCCTGTGCCACAACATGACTGCATTGACTTGTATGGTGACAGCATATACCTGTAGAGTCCCACATCCCCCAGGTCACCTAAAATTGTTAAGGGACAAAGATGTGGTACCAGTAGCAAACCAAGACAATTCAGAGTTCAGGTCTTGGAAAGTCCTTCTATAAGGCAACAAAGGCCCTCTTTGAAAGTTTGAACTGCTGCATATTGGGGCAGAACAGCAAGTTAAAGATGGTGCCAGAGATTCTCAAGCATTCACAGATTTGAAGAGGTTGTTTGCAGGTTGAGGCGAGGGCTTTGGGCCGTCAGAGTCTGGTGGGTGATGGTGGGGTCCTTAAATGGTATCTCTGGAGGAGTGCGGTGCTACAGGTAAATTGACACTGAAACTTCATGGAGGAGAATTGAAGCATCCATGGAAACATTCCGTTGGCTCTGCGTTTCCCTATACATCAATGGCAGACATTCAGTTTCCAGATCTGGATTTTATTTTTTACAGACCTTTCAAACTATTTTGGTGAAAGGGGAAATTCAGGAATCCCAGGGGTTTGAAATAACCTTAGTTTTCCCTTTAAAAGAGAGAACTTTAAAAGCAAGAGAGATGGAGAATTGATGCTTTCACCCTGCTTAAGTTCATCATTCCCTTCTGTTACCTGCTATTCTGTTATTTTGTTGAACTCGCTTGCAAAGTTCAACTTTCACGTTACTTCTATCTTCTGTTCTGTCATACAGTGTCCACAGATAAACTAACCTTTTTAAAAATGCCTTTCACATATAATCTGATGCTTTATAAAACTCTCCTTCCAGCTCTTCCTTGTTTAGGATTTAAAGCTCAGATTTGTCAACATTTTCACCTGGTTTCCTTACCCCAATCTCAGCCCACAGCCTTTCCCTTGGTCCTGTGTCTTCTCTCTCTACCTCCGGGGATCCTCCATCCTGCTTCTCTTGCCTATCTCTTCAACTAGATGCCTTCTAGAAAGTTCCCCAGTCAACCTGAATTTAACTAAAATTCGTAGTCGACTCTAGCTGTATTTCGTTGCTGCTAGCTCTCTCATCTCAGTCTTGTTCTATTACATCAACCATCAAAGAGAAGGTTAGTTATTTTTACTTCAGATCAGAGGTAACAGCCTGGTATCTGAGATTCCTTTATAAGAATTTGTACAGCTGACAGGTTTGTATAGTGCCTTAAAGGTATTTAAAAATACCCACAGATGATCACATTTGTTTTTCTCAAGGATTCTGTAATTTTGTAGATGCTTTAAAAATTATGTTAGTTCTGGGATTCCTAAGACTGGCATCTATGATGTTGTCATCCAGCCTAGTTTTCAAGATAATTGGTGTCATGTAAAAACTGTCCCCTTTCATTCTATGCTGACCTTTTCTGTAAAGAAATTATTGTTTTCTAGCAATGTGGCTGAGACTAGTAATACTTTTATTTAAGAAACCAGTTCCAAATTTTGAATGTCAATATTTATAAAACCTTTATCTTAGGAAAAATATTCTTTCATCTATTTCTTTCCTAAAGGAAAATAAGTCTTGGTAAGCCAAAAATGAAGAAATACAGGTGTAATTTTTAAAAAATTCAGATCTTGAAAGACTTTTTTAGAACTTGATGGTTGTCTTGGGATAATCAGAGGACCTCTGGCAAACAACCAGGCAGGTCTTCACAAAATATTTACTAGTGGACATGTATATAATTAAAAGTCATATGGACATAGAAAGACTTTAAAAAAAGTTTATGTCATTCCTGGCAGTGCTCAGGGTTTATTCCTGGCTCTGTGCTCAGAGATCACTCCTGAAAGGACATAGGGAACCATATGTTTATCTGTCTATTTTTTAAAAATTAGTTTTAATATTCCATGAGTGAGCACAAACCTTTCTTTGGTATACTTCCCTCAAAATAGTCAGAGTTAGACAAAGACAAAGTTGAAATCCTTTGAATTTTCTCTTTCTACTTGTTTTCCTTTGGATTTTATCTGAAACCACTGGATAGCAAGATTTTTTTTTTTTTGGAAGCTGCTGTCTTCAAAGAAAATGCCTTATTTGGGGTCTGGAGAGAACTCAAAGGGCAGAGTCGTCCTTGGCATGCTGAAGGCCTCTTAAATCCACGGCATTGCATGGTTCCTCAAGTACTGCTGGTGCCCCCACCCAAGCACAGAGCATCCGTGTGTGGGCCAACACAACAACAGAGAAAATGTGTCTTTTCATTTGGCTGCCACCAAAGACTATAGCTGGGAACCTGGGTATTTGGTGAAAACTGACATTCCTTCATAAGATCTATCAGATGTTTCAAACATGATCCTCTTTACTCTGTCATCTTTGAGATCTGTTTCCATGCATAAGGACATTAATGTCAATTGGAAGTCATAATAATTAATGAAATTGGCGAGAAAGTAAGGAGGGGTGGGGGCCGATCAAGAATCCCAAGTGGCATTGCACTTGGAATTTAGGGAGGGGCAAGAGAAAAATTTAGCCTGAATGGAGCATAATTCCCAAAAGGAAAGTAAAAAATGTCCCTTACTCTGTGACTCCCCATCCTCAGAGAAGAGGGCTCCAAAGAAATGAGGTACATTCCTAATTCTTACAATTTTCTTTGCCTACGCTTCAACCCCAAACCTTTTTAAGCTCTTAAAAAAGAAAGTGTCTTTCCCACTAATCAGATTTTAATGCATTATTAAAGCCAAGTGTTGAGGAAAGTTTGCACAGGACTGAAGTATGCAAATTTTCCTCAATACTTTCCACAATAGATTGCCACCTACTTAAACTGACTTGACAGAAATTATATTTTCCTCCTCTTGCCTCATGTTTGTAATTAAAGGTATTGAGCCATTCTTTTTATTGAGTTTTAATAAATTATTTTTGTACGGGTTACAAATGAAGGTTTTTAAAAATTGTATACTTCAACAAATATTTTTATATAGTAAAATACCAATAGTGTACAGTATGTATCTTTGGGTCACTGGACTGTACCTGTTTTTCAATAAAATTGTCTCACATTGCTGTTGGGTTTTATCATTAATCTCTGTTTCTTTGCCCGTCCTCTCCAGAGAATGATGTAGGGGAGCTCAAAGCGACCTTAAGCTCCCAGTGGCTGATCTCAGTTACACCTCACCTGCTTACTTCTCTTTAAAATGGGTTAAAATGTTCATCTAATTAACTGTTTACCTGCACAAAAATGATCAGAGTAACACTTGGAAAAACATTCTTTAGAAGGTTTTCATTTAGTTTTTTTTTTTCTCACTAAGGAGAACACAACTGGAAAACATGCAGTCAGGCAATGACACACACACACACGCACACCACACACACACACACACACACACACACATACATGCATCCCCCCCCCCCACACACACACACAAAAAAAAACACTGGCAATCAAGGTGCCTGATGCCAGCATTTTGTTCTTGCCTTACAGCAGCTCCCACAGGCAGGCACCTGAGGGCCACAAAAGAGACGGATACTGTGGAGAGTGATGTAACTCGGCCTGGACTCCAAACTCGCTATGAATCTGCTTAGAGTCTCGGGATGTAAAAACTTGGACAAATGATTTGAGTTCTAATGTTCCCTGTGAAAATGAGTGCAGCCTCCAATTCCCGGAGTTGACTAAAAAGATAAAGTACAGATGACAAGCCTGGTATCTAGCCTATGAGAGGTCCTCAGCAAGATGAAATTTTTGAAGTGAACCAAATCATAGATATTTGCTTCTGGTTATACTGTAGCACTGTAGCACTGTCCTCCCATTGTTCATCGATTTGCTGGAGCAGGCACCAGTAACATCTCAGAATCTTAAAATCATTAAAGAGATGTCCACAAAACTTGCTCTAACAGAATTTCTCACTGGTAG